ACTGCCTTAGCTACTCCACTGATACTCAATTTTTCATACGCATTTTTCTACCTAATATCACTGAAATGTGATCGAAATATCCATGTCCAAAGCATCTCACACTAGAACTTAACAGTCATTTCCAAATTTATTCGTGCAAAAATCACTTACGCTTTCCACTTTGTTTTTTATGGATTAACTATCTCCGTTATGTTAACGACAGAGCAGTAGTGTGAAAATACCGGATTCACGTATTGTTTGGCGTGCACGAAAAAAATGTTTTACACTACTGCTGACATGGTAAGCCGGTGATAGGGAAACAGTTTCAGCGACTCCTCTAATATGTACCGATTATGCTCATGTCTGTTTTGGTCACATATTACGAAGGATTCCGGAGTGAGAGACTAAAATGGACTCGGGTTTCCAGAAGTGAAAAATGAATCACCATTAAATGAAACCCGTAAATTCCTGGTCAGAAACATCATTTCGGCCTTGAGGGTGCGCAAGATTAGACTTCATGCCAAAATCTAACAGGCAGCTTAATTTTCATTCCTTTTCACAGTACAGCTTATGCTGAACGCTCTTCATTCACCGTCCGAAAATAATGCAAGAAATACTTGTGAATATACTTTTAGGATTGGAGAACTAGCAGCCCTTGGTATAGACTTTTATGCACACCCGAAGAACGGATCATTTTCCAACATGGCCAACCCAGGAATTATAAAACCGATTCCTAAGGGCGTTTCAGTTGTGTTGACCACTTATCCAGCTCAAGAGGAAGCTAGCAATGCAAAATTAATTGTACCCTAACAACAACTTGAGTATCGCTTGGTGCAAATTAATTACATGAATAGCCCTAACAAACAGCCATCTGGGATCTTTGCAATAACATTTTACTTACGCATCCTCCGCACGTTCTTGCGGAGTGTACTCAACACCGTTCAAGAGGCCTTACCTATTGTGAACCTCTGTAGACCCACCTGCACGGTAGAAGAAATTTAACTACACAATAGTTTGGCTTCATTCAGTTCAATTTAGTGCTTTCTCCACACATCCGGGCACGTGTCGACCCCGGATTTTCCAAATAAGTGGTTTATGAAACAGTCTTGGTTTCCTGACCTCACAATGATTGACCAACTGCTGAGTACTGTCCAAATAATTGCCACTCGAGATTGTCAGCGTTTCGTTCAGGACTGTGATTTTGTTATGAGGGAATCTGAAAAGGTCTGTTTGTTTTAAATTTTAATTTTGGCGATTGGTGACACACTGCATTTGCTGTTGACAATCACTGAGAATGTCTGAAGATTGTTTTGTGTTGTGTTAAGTATACAATAAACCGCGTTGTTCCAAATTCAGTTAGGAAGGTTCATGGTTTTGGCTAGAATTTGAAAAGTGTTTAAATAAAATTATGTATAATAGCGTACTTGGCTGTCTAAATGATCCTCCGCAAGCAAGAGATTTTATAGGGCTGCTTGTTCATTGGGGCTGTGAGCTGCAGCTTATTTTCAGTGAACTCCTAGAATTTGCCTAAAAATGCACGTACCACTTTATATTACTTGTGCTGCAGTTGCATCAATACAGAGCGAATATGTTTACAGGGTTCAGTCAAGCCACGTTCTGAGCAAAGCAACTGAGGTCTCTGAAACAATATGTCGTTATATTGACGCAATATCGTAATGTTATTCTGATCGTGCACTGTATCCTGCGGCTGAGAGTTAGAAGGGTTCACTTAGGCCTATTATTAAAGCCGAAACTGTTTGTAAATGGGTGAGTGCATTTCTTGAGTGAATTATGTTTGTTCCAATAGGACGCTTTCACTTAAACGCCAAGCAGACAAGATTAGCTGATTGGACCTGCTTGTGTGAAATAAGAATTTCCTATCAGTGACCGAAGTGGATCCTTCATGCACTTGAGTACACAGGATTCGTTAGCACTGGTGGACGCTGCCGTATACAAACGAAACCACGCCAACAGGGGATCTGCACGTATATAAAAAGTTTCGATGTGGATCATCGCAATCATGTTCAGCAAGTTACAGTTAAAATTTTCTTTCTGCCAGTTTCATTCAACCTGCAGTTCTGTAAGCGTTACGCCAAAATTTAATGGGAGCTTTCAGAAAAAGAGATGAAAGAGAGTTGGCCGCCGCAGCAAAATAATAAACAGATAGCTCATCAGAAGCACATTAAGCATAATCATCTGTTATTCCGATTACTTGTGCCTATAAGGGGTCAATGACTGAAACGTTTAGTTATAAAATACCATTCTTAAGTGACAACTGAATTGTTCCCTGAGCTTGGCAGTTTTTTAATGCAAATGTCTCATCACGAATCGAGATGACGTCATTGGCGTGGTGTACCTGTGTGTCGGTATATAGACCTACACTTACGGCAGTCTGTCTGACATGATTTGTACGGTACATAGTCCATAACATAACCACACAGGTAGGGTGTTCCATAAAATTGTAAAGCTGATGGTTTAACAGGTTTTTAGTTAAAACTGTGTGAAATGAATCTGCGTATGCTGATAAAGGCAGGTCAGATAGACAGACGGACAGGCAGGCATGCGGGCAGGCAGGTAAGCAGGCAAGCATGCAAGTGGGTAGTTGTGAGGACCTGTTTGAAGAAAACGAAGTATTTGAAATACTCCTGCCTAGTAGTCATTCTCTTAACGGTTGTCGACGTGCGTGCTCAACCAAGCAGGAAAATAATTAATTCTGTATACGCCATGCATGCTAGTAATGTCAGAAACCACCTGATTTTTGAGACAGAAGCGTGAACTATGTATCTGTATATCAGTGATCGAATCCTGTTAGGTTCACCATATGTACTCCGATCAGGAGATAGCTTATCGGGGGTCACTTTTTTAGAACCCAACAGTTGTACTCTATAACTACCACCTGTAAAAGCCCCAACTCCAAAACTAGGTATTTAATGAGTTTCCCCAGAAGATCATGAAAAGTTACGGATAATTCTGGCTAGATACTGGTAGTCAGCTTCTTAACAGGCTTCAGTGCTGGTGTCCAGCCAAGCAGCACCAATATGAACAGAAGACTAAGTCAATAGGAGGGATACTTATCACCAGAAAATCCCTACTGCGAATCATTATAAAAGATAAACAGTACGCATTTCGCAGTGAAGTTCTGAAGTTTTAGTGTCAAAGAGAAATTACACTGAAATCTGAAGATTCAGCTTTAGAAGTGGAGTTTGACAAAGACTTAGCCCATGCCGATTGCTAGCAACAGTTTTCAGTTGCTCGTTTCTCAGACGCATAACCTAATACACTCACTTGCAGATTGGATTGACGTTGCCGTAAGACTCAACTGAAGCCCACGTTTATGATAGTCTGCGGTTGTGTGCCGCGATAAGACTTCTCATATTTTATCTCCTACGACATTCAAGATATCGCAGTATATTGCGTTGACGCAACAATGTTAGTAGCACTAGATGTTGGCATCAAAATCACTGACGCTTAAAGCCTTAGTTACATTCTCGGTAGGTGAACCTGTGCCCCAAGTGACTGATGTCGAAATAACACATCAAATCGAAAAGGCTTTTGGCTAAGCTGGATCAGGATTTATTACAAAATCCAACCTGCACCAATATATGGATCCGTCATATCGTCTTAATCCGTAGATATTTGAGCAGGTGCTTTGGTTTCAAACTCACTAACTGAGCTCACTCATCAGCATCATCGCAACAATAAACACGACCTTCACTATTATCATTTCCATCGCCGAAAAATTACGGAATAATTCAATTTATTGTGACCGGAGGTGTTATCGACCCTACTTTGCTTACTCAGAGCCACAGAAGATCTGGACAGTCATCTAGCTAATGTTGAAGAAACGTCCGATAACCCACCTTTGCTTAGCACCGTTTTCCCTAAAGCACATGCTTACAATGACCTTTTTTCCTCGGCGAAGACTGAGTAAAAGAGCTACTCCATAACAGGTGATGTCCTACGGAATTGGTGAACCAGACCACCAGGAGATTCTTCACAATGTCTACCATAAGCGACCTCCCAGGATTGAGCCATCCCAGGGCTGTTCTATCTAGGATGAAACTAGCTTACCATAAATACGTGGTTCATGATGAAATTCAAGAGAACCTCCCGCTCGGAAATCGAGAATTTGGCAGAGCTGCCATGACGGTTTGCATCAATGTGCACTCTCCAGTCAAAATTACAGCACGGATACAGAAATAACCTACTGGCTGTTATCGACTGCCTTTTCTTTCTTGGTAAATAATCAACCTTCAGTAAAGCTCCAGCGGTGTCCGAGACCCACCAAAAAGAGACTGCTTCTGCTCGGTGTTTTCCCATTTACTGAGGGACAAGTTTAGTAGTACTGTCATCATGATGAACGCCATTTGCTTGCTCCTACAGCATCTTCGAGAAAATACATGATGGTAATGCGGTCACAATAAGCGTACCTTGCACCAGTACAAAAATACCCAATTCACAATTTTTTCATTCGGTCTTGTATTTGGAAGGTTTCTCGAAACTGCAAAGCATAAGCTTGTCTGTTTAAAGTTATAGAGTGGTATCAAACTAATGACTAAAAACCGCTTCTCATGGAACACAGATAAATTGAAGCCTACCAAGAAAACTACTGAGTGCTTGTTGATCTGTTTATCGAGCTTAGCAGTCGGATTGCAAACGTTTCGTGTCGAACCGAGGTGACATATTCAGTGCAAAGCTGATGATGTCTCCTCAAGCCAAACATGCCTCCGCGATTGAGGATGAAAGGCCGAAACGTTCGGTGAACTGACCAACAATCAAACAGCGCAGCTGGGTTTTCTATATTCTGCAACGTCGCCAACAGACCACTGTGCAATAATCAGGAACGGTTAACCCTTCCAAATCCTTCTTATAAAGGACTGGTAATCCTTAGATAACACGAGAATAAATCGTAAAGCAGTCTTCATTTTTGTCAGGTTTGAAAGATTTCCAGCAAAATATTTACAGAAGGACGTAAATTTACGGAAAGTCAGCCAGAGTTATTTGCTTCTGTGTGCTTAGGGTCAAGGTGGCATGTGGCCAAAGTAATCGCCCAGCTCTGTAGGTGGTTTGGTTAAATTGGCCACGTTGTATGTGAATAGGGGTTGAGACAGCCAGGATTCCGGGTCACTGGGTTGGGCGCTATTTGCAGAAAGACGAACTTCGAAATCTAGGTTATTTTGCTGATGGTGGTGACGGGCTTTCATCAAGGGTGCTCTACCTGATTGTGCGTCCAAGCGTTTTTCCGCATTGGTGATAGTTGTGGGAAACTGATGCTCTGATGAATGTGTTGATCTTGTTGTAGCAGATGGTGACTGTGAACCTTCAACGGTCACAGTTCTCCCTGTTTCAGCAACGGATGGACCGAATGTATTAGTCCCCTCAACTTTATTCAAAGCAAGGAAGGAATCACTATGGAATGATGCAACAGACTGTGACTCTTCCACACAACTGCTCGCTACTCGTGACCTTGTCTTGTTCTGTAACACGTTCTGTTGAAATGAGTACGACGTTACTGAGGTAGGGCAGAATACATCGGCACCATGAAATCGCTTCTTATCATAATTCTCACTTGCTTCTGAATCACGGTTTCCTAGAACGGTTGATGGTGCACTTGTGTTAACTGAAGGACTGGCGTCAGATGCAAACGATGGGAAGTGGGATGAATGAGATAGAACCGTGTTGTTCAACGGCGATATTAAGCACGCTGCTGCCGCGGCCATACGAGCCGAATGAAGTATATCTGGAGTATATTGACTGACATAACTAGATGACGCCGTGGGTTGTTGGTAGGTATTGAATGGTCTGGGTGCAACTGGAGTATGTCTGCCATTCGACAAGGCGTAGTTAGCACCTGCATTTTGCAAGTCGGCAGCAGTGTTTGAAGTACCGTAGTCGCGTAGAGTGGATAGCACGGGGTTGGTGTAGGGTTCTTGATAACCTCCACGAGTTGCGCCTGCCCAGGCTGTAGTGTTCAGTGGGTTATTGGTGGCTTCATTACTTACACTGATGAGGTTCGATTGAGAAAATCGATGGGTCGCTGGCGAAGTCAGTTGGTTGGGTAAAAGCAATGTCGGGTAGGAACCAAGGGACTGTGTTAATCCGGAACGCGGAAGTTGTTCGCTCAATCCAGAATTACCTGGTATCAATAAAGAAGCCAGAGCATGTTGGTCTGAAGCACCAAATGATTCAGCCGATGGAGGAGTCCCGCAGGATGGTGGTTGCATTGCTTGTGCCAAACCAGCAAAATCAAACTTGTAGGCATAACGCTTGCCATTAATCTGAAAGGTAACGAATAACAAATGAGCATTTTTTTCCACAGCATCAGAATGTTTTCGGTGAAAACGCAAAGCTGTTCGTCACTTGATCGGCTGTCCTAAACAGTGTGGTGCACACAAGTTAGCGACAGAGAACAGTGTCCCCAAATATTAAACTAATCTGGTCGCGTACTGGGCCCAGGCATGGACATTTATCCTGCCAAATATTTAGCTAATGGGATCTTGAGGAACAAGCTAAATATAAGCAGTTTTGAGTAGAGTATCAGTCAGATAATTCCCCGGTTCTCATTAATGCCTACATGCACTAACTAGCTATCTGACACACGCTTATTAAACGTCAGAGAGTAACGCATATCCAATGCAAGAATACATATGGAGCTAATGACCGCGTGACGGGTTTCGCACTCGAAACTACGGGTGCTTGGTGATTGATACGAATGACCATTTTGTTTGTACGACAGGTGCTACTTCGTAAAAATGATAACTAGCAAAATTCATGAAATGAAAATTCACGAAAACAGAATGATGACGTCATTAGCAAAATAATGGTTCATCTGTACCACTCTTTATGTGCATAGCTGCGTTACCGCCCAAAGGAGTTGAGATAATGCCAAGTTGCCCAAGCCTAGACGGGAGCAGCTGAGATGCAGAAGTTGAATCCAAACGACGGACCTTCCGGTCAGTAAGTTCAAGCCTTAAGCCTCGAGCGAAACAAAATAACAGCCCTCAGCCGTGTTAGCAAATATAGCCAATAAAAAGAGTTAAAATCTGGGGGCCTAGCTTCGTAAGGGACAGTAAACCCCGATGTTTCTCCATGAGTAGAAGTGTAGTCATCTATTCTAGTTACGTTCATTTATTTTCCCGAAAGGAAGAGCAACATACATTATTGCCTCCTGGTGGTCGTTGAGACAAATATGGCTAAATTTGGTGTTTTGTACAGGCAACACTTCAGTATACCCGGTAGGATGTTAGAGAAGCAGAGAAGCTTGAAGGGTGTTCACTACCTGATTTCACCTCCGAAAGGTTTTACTATTCACTCATTTCAGTATCGAACGCTGACCGATCCTTGTTCCCAAGTGAAAAATAATGCGGGAAGTTACCGAGAACCTGAATGGTCTCCGATTCTTCATGACGCCTTGGGAAAACTACCGTAACGTATTGTCTTCAACAAAAAGGTCACGAAACGTGAGAACACCTGGTTTCAGAAACTGTAGAGTGAATATCTCTCACCGTTGTTCAGAGCAAAAAAGGTGTTTCACTTTGGCAACTCCAACGGTAGCTAGGAAATTAGAAGAGAAGTGTATGGGAATTTTTATACGCTCAGTTTACCACATCCCCTTTCATAAAATGCCACGTGTGATTTGACAAATAGTAGACAAAAAGCTGACTGAAACCTGACAGTAACCTTACTTTGGACATGATATTCTTGTCATAGTAGTAGCGCAGAGCTCGACTCAGTTTGTCGTAATTCATATTTGGTTTAGATTTTCTTTCTCCCCAGCGTCTTGCGACTTCGTCGGGATCGACAAGTTTGAATTCCCCATTAGTTCCTTCCCACGTAATGCATGCGATATTTCGCGAATCAGACAGCAGTTCGAGCAGGAATTGCCACAGCTGGATTTGGCCTGAACCTGCAGTAAAGAAGCGGATATTTTTAGAGTGAAACGTTTTTGAATGGATAACTAAAAAATAAGAATGACTAATTTTTTGGCACGGTGTAACTAGGCCCATTCAAAAACATACCATCTGGGCCAAACACTTGCCGACAGTAAATTAGAATATCGTGGCTTTAAGCTAAACGATTTTGGTGGGCACTTAGTTTGAAACATAACACGCGGATGTCGATGCTATCCGACAGACTCACTGTTTCAGCACGTAACTCTGCAGTTAATATTGTTTAACCTCATTGTTGCTTCCATCCATTTTTATAGAACGACCGTCAGTTTCTTTCGAATGTTACCCTTCAAGTGAACAATAAGGGTTCCTCTATGCGAACACCTCCATTAAGCACAGGGTCAGTGAGCACCTCATTTGACTAAGTGGACTGTTTAAATCGCATCTCAAAATTCCGCTTGAAGAAGGCCATTCATTTGATGGATGGCAGGCTAATTAATTCTACGAGAAAGTTTGTCCGCATATATAGTACACAAGGTAGGTCAAATTAGGCGCATATCATTGACTGAGCTTTAAACGTCACCTTAACCTTATCGTCAACAAACACAGAAGTACATCTGGTCTATAAGTCAGATCGAATGAGCTTCGCATTTGAAGCTGCCTGGAGGTACTGGAAGGTGAGGTAACTTATGCAGATATCATGAAAAGCGTTGAACTCTATGTTTCCGAGTGCCCGTCAAAAGCAGACCACTGTTCACAAATAGACCTAATATGGCTTTATCTTAGGGCTCAACACATCTTAGTTCATCTAGAAACGGGCGTGAAAAATGACATCAAATACTGTCCCTAAATGTTGTACCAAAGAGATAGAGATTATCACAATATCTACTGAACATAAGTGATGGGCCGAACAAGGCCGACGTTCCTTTACGAAGTGAAGCTAAGTATGGTTTGGGTGCACCTGCGGGCGCTTACTCTCCACAGGGTCCATAACTCCGTGAAACAAACAGTACTGGTGAGAATGCCTGACTGAAGGACTGAAAGAAAATACCCAGAAACAAATGACTACACAAAATACACGCAGTACTCTAGTACACTTGAGAAATTCATCTCGTCTTGTTGAGTTTGTCACTTGGAGAAAGCAGTTGAGGAGCGTGAAACCTGGAAACTTTAATAGCATTTAAAATGGGCTTCAAGAATAAGTAAGGCACAGTTAGCTGGGACAGGATCACAACTTCATCGAAAAATTAAAAGTTGAGTACCTTTTCAAACCCGCTTTTTCTGAAAGCACATTGCAACGGCATATTAGGGTTATTCTCCGTATTACTTATCGTTTCCCAGACAAGTTTTGTGAGGTTCACATGCCTAACTGCCATGCTGCGCTACTTTCGTTCCGATGTAAAATGGGTTATCCAGTCAGCAAGTTCTGTGACGTTGTTATCGATGTCTCACCAGCGGAGTCTGCACCATGCCGAGACTACAGCTTCCTGACTTGTCCCAGAGTGAATGTTGGGCAAGGGCAACCTGCTTGTGATTTTCACCCACCCTCGACTTCCGTCTCTACGATGCGGGCAAGTAGAGTTAATTCACGGTGGGCAACTTATGACCTCTCTATTTGACAAACAATCATTGAGTGAGGCGGTTTCCGCATGAATCCACACGTGTCGCTGTGATAGTGGGATTGCTGGCCGTATTCAAATCAGTACTTCGTTTGGTATGCAAAACAGTTCAGTGATATGTAAGCCGAAAAAGCACTGAAAAAATTTCATTAATGTCGCCAATAATGAGGGGTGAAAGCTCCTGTTTAAGGTTCGAATTGGGGGGTTAGGTGGAGCTTTTATGCATCACAACAGAACTGAACCAACCGAAGGTCGGATCTCCAGCTGGTTTCACTCCGGCTGTACTCATTTCTGACAGAAATTCTTCTCTCAAAAACAACTATTCAAATATTCAGTTCCGCTCATGCTGCTGCAAAATGTATTAAGCAGAGTTTTAATGTTTGGTAGGTCAAAAGATCCACATTTAACGGGTGAATTCCCTATTCTGTCACTGAAAGACGGAAGTTGATTGCAAACTCACACTGTGGTCGCCACTGTCCTGCAGTATTTGCTGGCGAATGCTTCGAGTAGGCGGATGAGTAATCAAAGCCAGATAGAAGAGAAATTGCTCCGGTGACCTCAGATGTTTTAGAAAGCTTGCTACCATACTTGGCCGGGAGTTCGTCTAACAAGGGATGCTTGGGATATCGTAGCTCATTAGTTGAATACACTGGTTTTGAGAAGTTTGTCACCTGGTGCAGTCTGTTGTTGTCTGGCAAAGGATCCGGTCTGATACGGGAATCACTTGAGGATTCTGCAGCCTGGGGTAAGTTACTCGCGAATCGTTTTCGTTTGCATCTGCTTTCAATGCTTTTAGAGCATCGACTAGTTTGTGAGCGTATTTTGGGTGTACAGTTATCGTATGTGTCTGAAAACATGTGCCCTCCATGATTGGCACGTGTTACATTGAAGTTGGTATCATTTGCGGCAGACGGACCCTGCCGAGTTGACCCCATTATGTAGTTCGTGCTGGACCCGGCGCGTGTAGACAGTCCGAATGCATATGTACTAGCCGAAGAGGCGCTTCGAAATGTGTCAGACGTTGGTCCGGGAAATGACGTAAATTGCCCTTCGGGTGGGGTTGTGTTGTGAATGCTGGGGAATCCTCTGATGGAGCATAAGGGTAGCGTGGTTTTAGATGCGACTTCGTCTGACCTCAGACTGGATCTTCCCGTCATCATGGCCAATTCGTTGCTCAAACCAAGTCCGGCAAAAGTATCTGCTATTTGGGAGTGATTAGATGTCATTGCTGACCAGGCATTGCCTGGACCGAATCCTCTCATCAAAGGACCTGTACCATCGTATGAAGAAGGAGAATGACCATCCTGATTGGCTTGAGATTCGGGCAGACAAGAATGACCAGCTGATAGTTGCGGCGACATGAGAGACGAGTTCACCGATTCAAAGAATGGGGGGAACATACTTGAAGAAGACGACCCGTGAGATTCAGCATTTTGTACCGAGGTCGAAGACAAGTAGGTTTGTTCCATAGAGTACGGATAGAGTGACGGTAAGGACTCAGTACATGGGAAGGATAGTAGACCGCAACTCATAAACTCTTGAAGAGCTCCTGAACCCGCTGTGTAGCTTGAACCCATAATTGTACTCGCGTTTCGCTGCTTTTCACACAGCTCTCCAGGCGCAGTAAAGTTGAACATCCTATTTGACATTGGCCAGCCTGAATTGTGTCCAATCGACAAGGTGCTTTGAGTTTCAGGAATGTTCATCACTGTGGACTGATGAGCTGTAAAGTGAAAATACGTGGGACCACTTGCAAAATGCTCACTAATACATGTGCAAAAGCCTTCTTATTAAATGCATGGAGATGTGTAGACCTGCACGTTGTTTCTGGTAAGGTTAATAATTGACACTCAAGTATGTGATGCAACGTAGTTTATAAAAGTTAAATCAGTCGGGATCATATGTCTAAATGAAAGTGAAGTCAATACAAACGGGACGATGCCGAAAACAGCGGGATGTCCAATAATTGGTTCCCATTTTATAGAACAAGGTGCCCATTTCAAAAATTTCTCCTGGTAATCTGGCTTTGGAAGTAGCTACTAGAAACTTGGAAAAATTCCAGTGTCATCCAAGTGTAGATTTAGTGGTACATTAGTGAATCTGGTAAGTCCTCGCACACTATGTTCGACTGTAAACATGTGGTACCCTTACTTCAGAACTTTACAACGTTAAAATAAAAGCGTTGTGAATGTCTATTAGCAAAGGAAAGGAGACAATTTCAGCTGCCCCACCATGCCGGCTGGTTACTTTATGAGGGGCACTTTTGTTCAGATAACGCATGCTTTCTAATCGCAAGCACTACCTCAAGGAACTTGATAGGTAACGGGTGCTTTCCAGGTGGACAAAGTTATAGTAATTGGCTTATGAAATCCGACATTTCTAAGTTGCCGTTATCTTAACGACCTGTATGGCTGTCCTTGGCGCTTTGACTTATCTGACGGTCGTTATTGGTGGAGAACTGCTTTAAGACCTGCATGTATTTAAAATTTACTTCAGTCTTATGTGGTCAAACCATACAGACCTACTGTGAGTCATTGCCAGCACTTGGTTTTTGCTTGATCAGATTACAAAAACAAGCTCAGTGTGTACATTACAGAAGGGACCATACAAGCAGTCCTTACGGAGATTGGATGTTGTATTGAACCTTCATTATATCCGACCAACACCTCAAAACTTCGGTAAATAAATTTGTCGGAAAAGTACCCCATGTGGGACTACTAATAAGCCTGACTGTACATGGCATCTGAAGTCGAAATTCCCGCTGGACCTCAGATTTCTCAGTTAGACAGTGCTCTTCCATCGTATCCAAAGAAATTTCGTCGACTTCGTTCTTGGCCTTACGCTGTCTTTAATCCACCCTACGGATCTGCTTGGAGTCATCCAGTTCAATCGTTTGTTCTAATCAGATAATCTCAGGGTACAGAAAATAAGCTGTATCTATAACGACACACACTCTCTCCAGAATGGTTTTGACAATCCGAAAAGTAACTCTGGTCTATAAATGCAGAGAAGTGCGCGCATCTGCATCTTGATAACGAGCCTGGCATCAAAATCTTCCATTTACGCAACATATCTCTGCACGTCACGTGAACTGCGTCCGCAAAAGACAAACATTCCTGGCAGGAATGTTACAGAAGTTAAGGTATAGAGACACACTGGGCTGGTGAATTCCCTCTCCCCCATAATATCACGACCTAATAACCTTCTGACAGCTTACACGAGGAGATGTCAGGTTCAAAGTGTTAGCGTGCCTGCCATTGCGCAACGAAGGCTGACGAAGGAAACACAGTTTCATGCTTTGGAAGTGAAATGTTTATAGGTTGTTCCAGACTCTCAGTTTGTCACGCATGGTTGCTGTCATGGTGGAGAAAGTTTCCTGATGCGAAGTAAACAGCTAGCTACCTGAGAGGCTTCTGGCACCAACTACAGTGATAAAAACAGGTTGACACAAACAAATGAGAAGATGAGGACCAGAAGGACTTTCCAGATTCTGTCTACCAAGCGAATACAGGATAGTAAAAGCCGTCTTCAAATAAGATTATGATCCGGTCAACATAAATAACCTAACTCAAACGCATGAGCAGCGTGTTTCTATACATAACAGCTAGTTTCCAAATGTTCATTATTCAGTATTCAGAAATTTTTATGGGTATCCTTGGGTGAATGTACTCCTAGGATAGATGCCACTCAATCAGGGAAACAATCCATCCTGAAAGATAGTATTCTAGCCATGGTCCATTAAATGCGCTATCTAATGAATCCTCTGGACACACGAGTGCATGACAGAATAAGCGAATTCCTGTTGCTGACACTGAAAAAGGAATTTAAAACCACGTTTTTCAAACATGCAGACTGTAGATTCGGTAAAGGGTCCGTGACCAATAGTTCCCTCCAGTTTTCGGATGAATTCAGTGTTGCCTAAATCTTTTAGTAGACCCGAGCATTCTGTTAGAACTTTAAGAGAGACTTCACTTTCCCTAGACGATGACAAATTGCTAAGTTGAATGTTGTAGTTAATTTATTATACACTACATATTAATGAATATTCTTTCCTGCAACTGAAACCAATCTATACCGAAAAGTCGAGGAGCATTATACAGCTGTTCCATCCTTACTGGTAATCATCAATTGTGCACACCTCAAGAAATTCCAGAGTCACAAATCTACGACGAGATCAGGATGAAACAGTTGTACAATGCCTTGTGACTTTTTACTAAAAACTGAATTCACTAACAAGACGAACCCCATTAAAACTTGTGACTCTCTTCGCAGTACCATCACTGTGTAATAATAATAATAATTTTGCTCTGCAGTGCCACAGATTTGGCACCGTGGTTCAAGTAAGTATATTTTCAGACATTGCTTTGAAATGAACACATGCACTATCCGAGCCTTTCAGTAGCCTCACGCTGAACGATTAATTGCCTATACTCTGTGGGGAAAACCCCTGATATTGAAATTAGTGATACTCACCGAATGTATTCGGTAAATAAGGGGTCAGTACTCGGACGCCGCGCGACTGCAATTCGTCTCTATCCAAAGCACATGCAAATTTATACGAGAAAATGTTTTCTCTGGTTGCTTGCTCTGTGTTTATTCTGCAGGATAGACGATGAAGCCTCCCTAGTTGGGAACCATTGACGTACACATTTTCACTTCTCCTCCCGTTGGTGTACTCATAACCGCAAAAGGTGTATGAACCTCGGGTGATGATAAAAAAGATTGGCAGTTACAACAGGGAAGCAATCTAGACTCCCAGCGGACGTGACAAGTTCCTCGGGAAGCCCACGTTTTTAAGAGTAAACGCAGAGTGAATGTCATCTAATCAACAAAGTGCAACGGCTTAGCTTAACAAATACTGGTATCATGACAAAACTTCCGTCCTTGTTTTATTTACTTACCTGCTATCGATATTGGAATAAGGCGGAACCGAGTTTTCATACAATAAACTTCACTGTCATTTAATAAAACGACGGTTTCCCCCGAGGCCAGACTCTCTTTAAAGGTCCAAAAGTGTTAGTCCCCAGATGTCTAGCGCAACAGTTAAGCGAGTTTGTTGTAAAAACCTCTGGAGAAATGGGAAAAGCGAAATTTAAAGTATCAAGTGCCGGTGGATAAAGTTTGGAGAAAAATTCTGTGATCGCTGTTTAAATTTGTATTACTTTGATCATTCCACCTGATACACCCCAAAAGTTCACCAAACAAACCGACAATTTTCAGCACTCATAAACATGCTCACAGCTTTGCTACCTATTAATTGAGTATCCTTCACGGAATATCTCTGCTGAAACAACATTCTCATTAGTATTGGTAAATTTTGAGTTGCGGTTTACTAACAGTAGAACCAATTTGGCAAAATGTTTTTAGAACGACGTTCGTTACACAGGGATACTCCCAATTTTTGGCGGTACTTTTTGGTTCTCGCACTTCAGTTTCCTTTAGTCACTCACTGTAACTCTGAACGGATCAGTTAACATTAATTAATGCATCATGCACTAAATTAATTAAAATATCTGCCAAATTTTTATGCTTTTTCAGGAGTGGCGGAAATGATCAGAAAGAATCAGTACACCATTATGCAATTTTCAGTCCCGTAGGCCTCAGTGTTACTTGAATTCTCCAGAACTAAATGTCTACCCAATCCTCGACTTAGCTCAACTTCGAAAATTTAGTCTCAAATGCTGATCTTGCCGACGGAAAGCTATGCAGTTTTGTTCCATAACAGACAACAAACTAAGATTTAAAGTCCACAAAGAAGACGCATTACCAGTTTTACCCATTTGTCATCCAAACCTGATACGACGCTTACAATGGATCATTTCTCAGGAATTTTAGTTTGAAAATCGAAAGTCATCAGTCTAATTTTCAGAGTTGCTTTTGGTAAGAAAGTGAGCCAAGAATCAAACTTGAGTTCATTGTACCAGGCCCATGGTTGGGCTTCCTACAAGTGTCAAGCGGAAGATGATTTTCACCGACTCCCTAGCCTAGCTTGGTTAGTTACAATACAGTAAGAGATCCAGAAGTGTGGTTTTTCGGAATTCCGCATATTCCGATTAGATGTACCAGACTAGATGACCAGTTAGGTATTTCATTCAAACCAAAACGATGACCAATTAGCTTTCATATTTCTGACTTTCCTTTGACTGACTCTACAAGCAACACTACATTGAAATCCATACCTAAAACTACTGGCCAGTATAACATAACCGTCGTTTCTAGCCGCTCGTAATGTAACTCCCTACAGTTCATCTGTGCCACCTCTATTTACAGTAAATTTATGGAAAATCAATTGAAACTGCCGTCATAAGGTGTGATTATGTCATCTACTCGGGGTTCAAACTCATGGAATCTGGGCTCTTTTCTACATTTTAATCTAAATAGTGTCGACCCCAGTTTCTAGAATCAGCGTTTCCAGTTCAAAGTATTGGAGTGTCTTAAGTCCTTTGGATTGCTGAGATGCCTATTAACCTATCTTATTTACCTTAGTGGGTAAACAGCACCCAGTTAGTGCTCCAGAGATCTCACGAAATATTAGTCATCTTAATTTAAACAATGTTTCTACTTGTCTTTCAAGGTAACATTTAGAATATACGAAATCTCTGAAATCTTTCGGATACTGTTCGCTTAAAATGCTGGT